TCTGTTCTCATCTTTTCTGCACACTTGCTGACAACTTCTGCGAACTCCAACACTGAAGAAAGAGAGCAAGTCAAAGTCGGAGGGAAAAAGTGAGGCTGGTATAGAGCTGACTTGCGCAAATCGGTACTCAAAAGACCGCAACGCAACCGCCGCGCACCCTCAATCGGCCGATTCTTTGCACTCATAAGAGTTATAATTGTCGGAGATATCCTGAATAAGTTTGGCATAGTTCGGTTTTACCCCAGTTTTTCTGGGCTTTTTCTCAGAAGTTGGCATCGAGCGGTGAGGTTCACACCAGGCTCGAGTCAAAGGATATCTCCATACAACGTAAGGATTGGCCTATCTGAATCGCCTGATCGGGTGCACGGGTGGCGGCAGTTACGTTGCGGCCCCCCTGTTGAGTACCATTTCACATAATACGGCTCAATCAGAGCCCTTCCCGCACTCATTTTCCACCGACTTTAGCTTTCTTTCTTTCCTTAAGTTGTTAGAGCTCTTGAAAGTCATCAGCAAGTGTGCCGGGAAGATGAGTACCGAACTCTAGGCGAGTAATAGTCGGACACCGCGACGCAACTTCCGCGCACCCTCTATCGGCAGATTCTTATAGCGCTTATAAGCATTATATGTATCGCTCGGTCTGAATTGATCCTTATGAAGTATGGAGATACCCAAAGAGGTATTTGACCGTGACGCAACAGCGCCGCACTCTCGACCATCCGATCCTGAATTATGGGGATACTCTAGAGCGGCAGCGCCGCCGTATATGACACAATTTACTTTTCTTTAGACCGACGGTTAGGCTATAAGAGTTGAAGGATTTACATTCACTCAAAAATTACCAGATGAATAAGGCTACAACCCACACACCATTCCATTCCATTTCGTCGAGAACTTTGACACAGCAATTCTGCTGTACGGGGTAGTGCAAGAATATCCTCTAAGCAAAGATGACATGCCGAAAATACAAAAGGGCGGTTATCTAGCATTGAAAGCTTACCTGAAATGCGTTTTGAGGGATCATTTTTCCTTTAGGAAAGACATTCAGCAATGCTTTGTAAACATCCAAATCTTTATGTATGCCATATTCTTTGATATACTTCAAAGCCGTATTTATGAACTCCACGTGACCGCGCGGCCGCTTTTCCTTGAAAGCAGCTGAAAAGAGCCAAAAGCTACACTTTCGCTAAATAAGAATACTAATATTGGTGATTATGACACTTATAATTATAATTCGCAAATTCACCTA